GGGGTCCGACTCTCTCAACCCAATTGCCTTAAGCTGCCGGTCCCGGGTATATCCGGGTTCACTATACCTATCCCCTGTGTGCCTTGCCCGGGTATATTCGGGATAGGGTATTCCCCGGGATAACTTAGCACAGCTGCATGTTTCGCGCCCGCCAACCAGGAAGTGACTGGCGGCGGTAAGTGAGGGCAGGTCAGAGGTCAAAGTGGGTTGCGTAATCACCGATTACGTCATCCCACAATGCTTTGCGGCCTATTATTGCCAAGATGGCGGCGGCGTCGTCTGCCGAGGCTTTGTTCTTTTGTTTACGTGTTTTGGGCGGTGAATTTGGACTGTTTAACACCAAAATGACGACGTTTACCCCCGAAGAACTGTTGTAGGAGGTCGCTACTGTTGATTTAGCCTATGGTTAACTATATCAGACGCTGATTCCATTGAGAGTAGTGAAAATGAGACGGATCGTGTTAGCAGACGGGAGGGAATGTGCTCACATGGAACCAGATAGCATTGGTGAATGTGACATCGGCCATGGAACTACTAATAGCCGTGGTCGTGCTAGGGGTAGAGGTCGGGGCCGAGGTCGGGGGTGTGGAAAAGGCCAAACAACAAGGGAACGTGGCACTGACAGGCGAGGTTGCAGCCGGCCAGCTGATGGGGATTTAAATCCCGGAGCCGCCCATCAAGCTGCAACTGATACAAGATTTGATGGCACAAACTGGCAGAGGGGGGATGGAGACAGCCTGACCAAGTCTCCCCATATTTTCACTGCACAAAGTGGATTTAGTGGCAAGTTTTATTTCTATTTTATAGCAGCTTTTATGTAAAATTTTCCATGGTATAAAGTATAATATTATCTTTTTATTGCTTTTTACCTGTTTATTGCCTTTGTAGTTTATATTGTCAAGTTGAAATATATTCCTAGACATAGTATATACAATAAGCTTTCATATGATATGTAACAAGTATATATACCATCGATCACATAGGTACAGGAAGGAATGTATTATGTTGTATACATTAGTTGGTTCAGCACCAAGGACAATATCCATCATAAACTTACCTGTAATGATACCTGAGTGCTGTATTTTACTTGT